CATAAACACGCAGCCTATGAGTCTACTTCTCATCAGGCATAAAACACGCAGCCTGTGAGATCTTGTCTTCTCATCAGGCATAAAACACGCAGCCTATGAGGTCTTGTCTTCTCATCAGGCATAAAATACGCAGCCTGTGAGGTCTTGTCTTCTCATCAGGCATAAAACACGCAGCCTATGAGATCTTGTCTTCTCATCAGGCATAAAACACGCAGCCTATGAGGTCTTAACTTCTCATCAGGCATGAGATCTTGTCTTCTCATCAGCCATAAAACACGCAGCCTATGAGGTCTTAACTTCTCATCAGGCATAAAACACGCAGCCTGTGAGGTCTTGTCTTCTCATCAGGCATAAAACACGCAGCCTATGAGGTCTTAACTTCTCATCAGGCATAAAACACGCAGCCTGTGAGGTCTTGTCTTCTCATCAGGCATAAAACATGCAGGCTATGAGGCCTTCCTTGACCATCCTACGGTCTCACAGCGCCATAGCGATATTAGCCAGAACTGCAACATGTACCGTTGGTGCGGTCACAGAGTTAGGCAAAACTTTAGGGAGACCGTTAAGGCGGTCACAGAGTTAGTCAAAACTTTAGGGACACCGTTGGGGCGGTAACAGAGTTAGGCAAAACTTTAGGGACACCGTCGGGGCGATCACAGAGTTAGGCAGAACTTAAGCGAGACCGTTAAGGTGGTCACAGAGTTAGGCAAAGCTGTGAGACCGTAGGATTTCTGCACAGAACAATTTCTGCACCTTAAAGGCTTTCTCTAGTATTGTGCAGCACTACTTTGTACCCGTACGGGGTTCGCCCATGAATACTGTGTTGTGCGGTCAGAACCATTTGAGTCTCACGAACATGCAAATGAGGTAATTTGTACCATTTAAATCTCACGAACATGCAAATGAGATAATTTTTATGAAGATCACGCCGTGTGGCGCTACACATGTCCATAAAACGTGACTCAAACGCTAAGTTATATATTGTGTAGTTTCTTCCGGTTCTTAAGAAGCCACCACGACCAGTTCTACCGTGTCGCGCACCAAACACAACCGGGCCGCCGTGTTTATTCACATGTTGAAGAGTATATGTAGCGTGTCTTTCGTAGTAACATTCCCGAAACCTGGCCGAAATTGCGGTTTCCTGTTATGGTTTACCCTCCCATGTTTTTAGCTGAAATTGTGTTGTTATGATTATGGCTTTTGTTAGAATTTATAATTTTTAGAGTATGAAATAGTCGTTCCCTTGAGTGCAAAACGTCCTGACGTCGACGAAACGTCAGGACGAAACCTGGCCGATGGACAGTGTAGCAGTGGCCTCTAGCGATTTGTCTCCAAACTGCAGGGTCACATTCACCTGTGGCTGACGTAAATATGACGTAACTGTAGTAGTACACAACTTACCGTACAAGAATCAAAGCGCAAATCTACGCCGACTGAACATGCACCATAATTCAACTTTTACAGTCTCAAAACTGACGTATTCCTCTAACATTTACCACAGGTTCCATCTCGATGCCACGCACAGAACAATTTCTGCACCTTTCTCTAGTATTGTGCAGCACTACTTTGTACCCGTACGGGGGTTCGCCCCATGAATACTAGTGTTGTGTGGTAAGAACCATTAAGTCTCACGAACATGCAAATGAGGTAATTTGTACCATTTAAAATCTCACAAACATGCAAATGAGATAATTTTTATGAAGATCACGCCGTGTGGCACTACACATGTCCATAAAACGTGACTCAAATGCTAAGTTATATATTGTGTAGTTTCTTCCGGTTCTTAAGAAGCCAACACGACCAATTCTATCGTGTCGCGCACCAAACACAACCGGGCCGCCATGTTTGTTCACATGTTGAATAGTAAAAGTAGCGTGTCTTTTGTAGCAACATTCCCGAAACCTGACCGAAATTGCGGTTTCCTGTTATGGTTTACCGTCCCATGTTTTTAGCTGAAATTGTGTTGTTATGATTATGGCTTTTGTTAGAATTAATTAGTGTTAGAGTATGTAATAGTCATGTACTTTTATATATAAGAATGGGGGGGGGGGGGTCACGAGAGGCGGAAGATTAAAGCTTTCTCCTAACGTGGAGAAGGACATTTGTGATACGACTTTCTGGACTTTTCTAGCTATCCTGCACACAATCTATAATTCCCTATTATTAGTTTTTAATGAATGTGCTTAATTAGGCTAAAGAGCACTGCCTCTTGTCAGAATGGGGGGGGGCGGTCACGAGAGGCGGAAGATTAAAGCTTTCTCCTAACGTGGAAAAGGACATTTCTGACATGACTTTCTGGACTTTTCTAGCTATCTTGTACACAGTCTACAATTCCCTATTATTAGTTTTTAATGAATGTGCCTAATTAGGCTAAAGAGCATCATACCTCCATGAAATATAGGCCTAACATGTAAATGTCTTCTTTAATTATGCAAATCATCATCATCATCATTATCAAATGACTTCTACATAAACATAATATATGCATCGTGATGTTGACTTTTGATTAACTTACACATCTCCCAAGTATGAAATTCCCATCATTCACCACTAAGGAGTCATGGAATTTTCGGATTAATTATACAAATTAGGTCTGATAAGGCTGATTACATACTGATTGCCTATACAATTTTGTTTTGAATCTTTAAGTTTTGACAGGGATCGAATCATGATAGTTTTATCATATGTGATGAAAGCTCCTTGGTTGTATAGATATATATTAGATTTGTCTATTCAGTCGACCATCATTCTAGACATAAGTTAACTGCTGCCAACATGCAACAGAGCAGTCAGACTGTAATCAATGATGTGACAGAAAATAAAGTTTTCCACATGACAGTTTCATGATGTGTGCTTTTTGTGTTTGTATGTGCAATGGGAAAATGAATGTTGACGAGTGTATTGGACTTGAACTTGAGACACTATACTAAAAAGAGTTCCGAGATCTCATACCTTCATGAAATATGGGCTTGATATGTAAATGTAAATTTCATGGAGGTAATAAATCAACCAGGCCTAAACGATTTTCCGAGAAAAATGCAGATTACAGATTCTCACATTCTTTATTGACATGGACTTTCGTGTGAGCTACAAAACAATCTCCAAGCAGATCCTAGGGTGGCAAAAGACAGTATTAAATTGGCCAGAGTGTCTGTATCCAAATCCGTCTCTGGTCAATGGATACTGTCTGGACAATTTGATACTGTCTGTTGCCACCTTAGGATCTGCTTGGAGATTTCAAAATGATTACATTAGAGGTCATTGACATTTCGCCAGGTACGAGCAGGTACCATGACTCATGCAACACGTCTCTAAAAGCGCCCCCTAGCGGGAACATGTTTCCTTCCTGGTCAGGCTCCTGACGTCATCACCCAGCTGATGTGAATAGCAGTCCTTGCAAAGTGCCTGAAAAATAATTTATTTTTACAAAACCGTGCTTCAAACTACTCTCAAATACTAGTTATGTTTAGATGAAGATGATCCATAGCTATGATTTTATCCATAGAATTGTGCCGTTTTGTTGGTTTTATGTGGTATAAGAATGATATATTCAGGCACTGATAATATAGACGGAAATGGCGAACGAATTTTCTCCGAAGGACACAGAGACTGGCGGAAATTCGTGCAACACCTACAATGAAATCGTGACATTTATCGTGTAACAGTCTGGTTTTATCCGTTTTCCGACCAAATTTCAGCCCGATCTAGATCGAAAAGGTTTCTGAGGGGTTCATAGAAGTGTTGAGGGCCTGGTTTTGGGGGTATTTTTCAGGGAAAAACGCCATGATCGCCCGCGTTTTGACCGTGTTGGTTGTTTTGGGGTTGGTGATAGCAGCGGACGGTGAGTCACAAATTTTTGTTTTCTTCTCCTAGATTCTTTTCTTCGTTTGATAATCTCATTAATGTCTACATTTCTAACTTGCTACTTTACAATAATAAAATCCATCTTCTATGCTCTCCGATCTTACGTTATTTTGGTCGAATTATGATGAAATTATAAAATGGTTTTTGTTTTTGTTTACTCGTTTTCTGGCACAACATAATTTCGAAGAAATTTTTAGACTTGTGGGACAGAAATATATCTATTGTTTTGACAAGTTTGTTATATTCCGATATTATATTCAGGCAAATGTGGCTTATGGTATTGTATTCAGGTTTCTAAATAGTTGTTATGATTCAGTACAAGAATATTTCCAATGACATAAGGGAAGATGTATATAACATATATAACTAACATACAAAATGTCTATATTTGTATAATATAGAAAATCCAATGTTCACCAAGAACGACGAAAACAGCAAAGGCAATGTTACAATAGATAATGAAATGTGCCAACTTAGAAAGTCTACAAATGGTTATAATTTGTGTTGACGTTGTATCATAATTTCTAAAAGTGAAACTAAAAGAAGCTGTGACATGCTTGAATGATTAGAAAGAATTTATCCGTGTTGACTAAAAAAATTCAATGTCTTCAATCTTCTTATACGTTGTAGATAAGTTGTAGTGTTATGATATACTTGTTTTCCCTTTGCTATGATACTAGTACATTATTTACATGACAAATAACAACAATACCAATTTCCTTGTTTTCTGACTATTAATTGCTAGCCTAAAAAAAGAAGAATGTCTCTCATGGCTGTATTTTGTGTATTTTGCTTGTCTCCACCAGTGGATTCAACCAGAACATAGCAGATAATTTTATCCACAGATACGGGGGTTAGCTGTATATCTGAAGGTGCTGGTAGCAACTCTGAATCTGAGGAGGAGGAATTATCTATCCTGTTTACTCAGAACAGTTATCTGGCCCTCACTATCTCTAGTACATGTAGTTCTATTAGCAAGGTTTTTCTCACGGTTGAAAGACTTAATCTTTTTATACTGCTGACGTCAAACTTAAGCTTGCTGGTGCCAACATTCTAGTTATAATTGGTCTGGAGAAAACTTAAATATTACATGAATGTATCCAAGAACACCACGTCTGCAAACATACTCAACCGTACCTGCATGAAAGTGTATTCGCCAAAAAACAGTTACTGAAGCAACTGGATATGATTTTGAATCCAGTTGCTTGAGTAACTGTTTTTTGGCATATTTTATTACCTGGATGTCTAACCTTCACCGGTGAAACCTGTATTTGTAAGGTGCATTGCACTTTGGCAAAATTTCTCGTTTAAGGTCCAATATTTAAGGATGACAACCCATATGTTTTAAATGTTGTGTCGGAAAAGGTATCGTCTAAAGTGGTGAAAATTCTGATACCCAAACATCCAACCAAAACCGTTAAAACCTGGGTTTTGCACAGGCACAGTACGTTCTGCTGTTATGCTTCATTTATCCCTCTTCAAAACATATCTCTGATGATCTGGTAGCTCTGTTTTTAAGCCCAGTCTCATGGTCCTTTCTTTTCAAAATATTAATTCCCTTCTTTTTCTCTCTTTATTCCAATGCTCATGTCAATAGACGACAACATATTGACTATAGTAATTGGTCTGGAGCAGTCTTCCATACCTTAGATTACATTCATATAGTTATGAACTGACTTTAAGGGACTGTAAAGTTGTATACGTGTAGGTTTGATCTGGAAACAGACCAGGGTTGTAGATAAGGGGACTGAATTTGAAGGTTTCCCCAGAAAAAAAATCAATATATCTGCAGCTGACCTTAGCACAGCTTTCAGGCCGATACTGTATTTTTTATTTTGGAATGCCCCAGTTTTACACCCTGGCACTGTGGCGTAACACCTGGTTGACCTTGTCTGTCTCTTGAAGGTCATGTAGACGACTCTTATCTCTTTGTAACTTCTGATATTCCTTTTGGGAGCCAGACAAGGTTCTTGTGGACAACACAAAGAAAATACAGATAATGCAAATTCTATTGACTCATTTTATCATGATGTTTACTACTATTATTTTTCTTGTACATAATAAAGATGATTTTAATTAAGCTCCCAAGGCCATGGCTTTCAAAATGTATAATTGGACTTTTTGTATATACCAGTATTCATAATGTATGATAATTCTTGTCTGTATGAATCTATGATACCTATAATTCATTGTGAAAGGCATTTTAAAATCTTTTCTATACCCAAAATGAATTTTTAAAACTACATGTACTATGTTAGAATAGACTAAGCGATCATATGTGCATCAAAAATACATTTCAGGAAAACTATAAAAAAAAAACAATTGCTCTTTATATAAATTTTCATTTTGTTTTAAATCACCATTTTGAATAAATCATTCTTGACTTGACTACTTTTAAAACAGGATCGGATGCGTATCGTTTTCCGCGAACGTCTGTTGACCTTTGAAAAATGATATAAATCATACGCTTTTGCCCGACCGTACATGTAACCTGTGTGTTCAAACAAACAGGCAGACGTTATGAATTATTAATAACATAAGAACCAGTTGCATACAAGTAATATAGTTCTCTGAAAGGGATATGGCATTGGTCATATGATTTTTAGAGACCTTAGATTAGTTAGAATGCCAAAAGACCTTGAATTCGAATTTGCTAGATTCTTAGCTTTGAAGAAATGCTGTAATGTTAAGATTTTGCTGACATTTTGATACAAAATTTTCATTTTAATGTGCATCCAAATTTTTTTTGTGTGCACCCGGTAATAAAATTTTTTAGGTTAAGGTTCACCAGTATTCGCAAAAAGGTATTCTAAGCCCTGTACATTTGTTCACTTCAGAACTATTTGCCCTCACTAATTTTTCGGCCTTGTTTTTTTTTGTGGACCGGTAAGAAACAATGTGTACATAACCATAGATACAACCAAATTTTTTGTGTGCACCTGGTAATAATTTTTTAGGTTAAGGTTCACCAGTATTCCCAAAAAGGTATTCTAAGCCCAGTGTTCACTTCAAAACTATTCGTCCTGCCTATTTTTCGACCTTGTTTTCTTTGTGGTGGTAAGAAACAATGTACATAACCATAGATACAATACAAAGTGTACCAAACAGATGCTGTATATAATCATTATGTAGAAGGATATGGCTGACACAATGGTTGCGGGTTGGGTGTGGTCCATTGTTTACACAATGTTGTGTCCACCATACCAGGATCTACATTTTTTTACCTACAGAATTCAGGTCATCTTTGTAAACACCTGTCTACATAAACAGATCTTATATTTACCTGTATTTTCCTTAGAAAAAAATAGACTATTATAGAATAGATAGAGTGTGGCAAGATGGTCTATCTTGTGGTTTTAACACTTAGATATTACTCTTAAAAGGCATCCAATGCGATTTCAGGGCAGCAAAACTGTAAATAATCTGAATAATGAAATCTTTGTGATATTGACGCATACTGCTTCACATTAGCACATTTCAATCAGTATTTCATACTTTGGGTATTTAAAACAGCAGAAACAAGCCCCGAGGTGAGTCCTTTATTTTCTGGGTGGTACCCTAAAAATCAGGAAAAGGCCCTTCCACTAACCATTTTCCGTTGCTACTTTGCTATTTGTTTGTTCCATGAGGGTCAATAATTATACATTGGGATAGTGTGGTTTCAACTCAGTATGTAGATAGGTGACTAGAATATTGACTGAAAAAATTGGGTTTCCAAGCCTTAAAAACTGCAATGGATGGCTTTAAGCTAATACAATGTAGTTGTATCCACCTTCAACTCAGGTTACAGTGAGTAACTAGAACTTTGGTTAGGGACATCCTCTTTTATCAGAAATGAACAAACAAAGAAGAAAGTGGGGTTTCTGATATCAGTACTTACTAACTACATGTAGGTGTGAAAAAATTGCAAGCAAAAATGTGCTACTTTAGTGAGGCATCCACATGTTGAATTCTGGCCACGAGAAGACAAAAAAATCTGTCCAATTTGTCATTTAAGGTCCCAAAAATATGATTAAATGAGAAATAAAAAGAAGGAGGTCAGTCTTTGATAATCATTAAAACACTATGAAATTCAGTTTTCGAATGCCTCATAATGTCTTTCAGTGAACATTGTGTTTCAAACAGGCCGCTCCTTGTATCATATGTTAGACTAATCTGGGAATGTTTGTGTCGTTGCCTTGGTAACTAGAAGTCTGAATTGGCTTGGCCGTTCAGACTTCAAAACATCATTGTGTGGTTCGATGATTAGATTTGTGTCTGGAGCCTGTAGGCTAACCTTTTCTGGTATAAGCATTACCATCAAGAAGGTTATGTTACCTAAAATTTAGTTGGTTGGTTGGTTGACATATACTGCAATTCACTTTATGTTCACAGTAACGAAATTTCACGGTCTGAGAAAAATGGACAATGTTCACAGAACTACCTATATTCATGGTGGTGACAGGTGCAGGAAAAAAAAGTCCTGGAATTATTTGTTAACTGTAATGATAAGTTCACGGTACAGAAGCAACAGTGAAAACAGTGATTTAAAAGTAAATATTGTGAAAAAATCAGAAATTACAGTATGCATGGTGGGCTCCGTTAATATATTACTCTCTGTGTACTAAATAAAGATAAGCATTTCTAAGATATGAAATTCCCCTTACATGTTCCATCTTCCAGGAAATTGAAAAGTTGCAGTGGGTTGTTATTTAATTACTATTATCATATAGCCGGACGGCGTGGACCAATCAGAGGCCCGGATACCCGTGCTGTTATTTCCCGATAACAGCACATGTGGTGTTATGGCGGAATAACAGCACATGTCGTGTTATGGCTGATACCATTATGTTATAGGGTATAGGGGCATGCGACTCTTTCTGTAAACCTTTGTAGCATTTTTCTGTCCAATAAACTTTTTTGTTTAGCTTCATTTAAACTACAATTTGCATTAAATGAAATTATCCATATTTGTTTTAAAGCGTATAATATATTCGAATGTATTTTTATGTATGTATATATATTAAAGCTGTTGTATTTCAAACAGGAATTGTGTTGATTGACAGTTTGGATAGGCTATATGATAATAATTTTAATGCACTGCCTTTTCCTCGTTGTATATGGTGTCATAACTGCATGGGCAGCTGCCATAACCACCTCATAAACCACCTCGTTCGCTTCGCTCACACGGTGGTTTATTCGGTGGTTATGGCAGCTGCTCATGCAGTTATGACACCATATACAACTCGGGGCAGTGCATTAACCCTTTAGTATCCACTGTGTCTAGCGCGCCGTATTGGAAGGTAGAGCCTTTTAAGCCCATCCCTCTCCTTCCTCTGGCTTTTAGTAAGTTTTACCTCCCCAACTGAAGTCATGCAGGTTGAAGCAAGAAAAGGCAGGAATGACAGGGATGGAACCTATGACCTTTCAACCTCATGTACATGGCTTCTACATTTTTGTAGCTAACCATTCGGCCATACAACACCACATAACCCTTTAAGTGTCAAGTACAGATTAGACCAGCCCTGCTACATGTAGTACATGGCTTCAGTGAGCGTGTACAAATTTACATGACATTCTAGAAGCTAGGGTGTTGGCTGTACCAGCATTCTGTGTTCAGGAGTCGTAAAGGGTCACATGGTATTTTAAGTACTGCTGTTATTGACACTTGTAGACTGACTGGGGTTATAAGGAAGTTAACAAACAGTGTGTGTGTGTTGGGTAAACTATCAGGCGACACAGTCTTGACTTCTGTATATATCTTCAACTAAAAGACATTTTTTTGCTTTTATTTCTTGCTTTTGCTTTAATATTGTTTCCTTCATCTTTCCTTTCTAACAAGAAGAAAAGACACACTTCATGTTTAACTTATTACCTCCTTGTATGGAGGTTATGTTTTAGGTGTGTAATTTGCTTGTGTAACCATAGTTATACTTATAGAGTCACAGGCAGTGAGGTGGGAAATGGCATAACCACAGACTGACAGGAAGTCAGAATGGTCTTCCTGAAGGCAAGGAGTCAGTAACAGTTAAGATTCAGTGAAAAAAAAAACAAATATTGAATAAAACAACTTGAAGGTAGACCAGCATTATACTTTTGAGGTGCGAAGCCTTTGATTTCTTGTTCATAAAAGTAATCACATCATTCACAATCACATGATGATGTGATTAAGTAACGTTATTACAAAGTTCATCAGAATGAGAATTCTTAATAGTTTTCCCAAATGGCAGGAAAATTTTGGACAACTTACAACATTACAATTTGCATTATAATGTATGTACATGTACATGTACATGTAGAAAATTTTAATTATGATAAAAATATTCATGTTGTTTCCTGTTCCAGCTGGTCGGAAGCTGAACCAGTACATCCACCATTTTGAGCCGCTGAACTATGACACGGCGGAGCTGCACACGCGGCACCAGCGCGCTAAACGCTCGCCGCACCTCCACGAACAGTTCGTACATCTGGAGTTCCACTCTCACGGCAGGTAAGGCGATAAAACGACAAGCCGCTAGCCGGTCCAAAATCTAAATGATTTTGAGAGCTCATGAAGACCTATGTACATTAACTTGACAAAGCACATTCGCAGAATGTACTGCACCTGAATGAAACCCGTCAAATGCATTGTGCATAGAACTTCGGCAGGACGTCTCATATAAGGTCGTATTTGCGTATATAAAGATCTGTAGTTTTCAAATGTTGTGGCAGAAAAAGTGATCTTCTGCAACCTGCAAAATTCTAATGCAACAGTGACCAAAAATCCAATGAAAACCGTGAAAAATCAGGTTTCGCGCAGGCGCAGTACATCTGCCAACGTGCTATTTGACAACTGGTCATGTATGTTTATGCAATATACAATATATTCTAGAGAATAGTCTAGACATTGAATTTGACCATATGTTCACAATGTACATGATATGATATGTTCATGGTATGCTTTAATAATTGATTTTTAGCTATACATTGTATGTACATGTCATATGGCAACAGGTTGGGTTTGCCACATAATCACAAAATACGATCTTTTAATGGGTTTGTTATTTCATTACATAGATGTTAGGTTAGCTAGGTTGCCTACATAGCAATTTCTTAGATATATATCTTAAACTTAAGTTAAAGGTCACCTGGACAATTTTTTTTTGTTTCTTAAACTGTTAAAGTTTGTAGATCTCAAAATAGTAGTAAGACTACAAGCAGAGTTTTTGGCCAGGAGGCTTTTTTTTAGCCTTTTCCCCAATTCTATATGACCATTTCAGTGGCCACATATTATTTCTTTCATTTCATGTCTAAAACCTCTGCTCAGAGAATAAAAAAAAATTCAGAAGATCGAAAAAAAGAAAAATTCATTTTACTAGCATACAAATTCAAGAATTAAAATGAAATGGTCTGTATTAAAATCAGTTACCGTAAGACATAAAATTACTATTTATGTGCAACTGAACATTGGGCATTTATATGCAGTGTATTTAGTCTCCACCCATATTACAAAGTGAATATCGTTCCCATATTTTCATCACCAAACATAGATACAAGGTCAACATTATAATGGATAACGATATTAGCTGAAGTCGTTTGACGTCATTGAACGACTGTTGCTATGACCAAAGCTAGTGATACCGCGCGCTTTGTAAACAAAGTCAGTTTAATTTTCCTGAGTGCACCCAGGATTTGTTTGGTGGTAATGGGTCTGTTATTACATTATCTGTGTGAGCGCTCCTGTTTTGAGTGTGTGGAACACCTCTGTTGAGGAATGTGATCATTATACAACATGTGTTTGTTGTCATGATATAGGGCTCATGTTACTTATTTCTACATACCTGCACTGATGCAGGCAATATTGAAAAGTACCTGCACCAGACAAAATTTCCCTTAGGCAACACCTATATAATTTGTTGTTTCTTGGATTTTTTCAGAAAAAATATGAAGCAACAGGGTGAAAAAAAACAAAACAGGCCAAGCCCCACTAGGAAGGCTGGAAATGTTATACAATATGAGCCATGAAGTCAACATACCAGGCCAAAATATGTCTTTCTATTAGTTTCATTGAGCATTTTGCACTTGATTCAGAACGTGAAATCTCTTTTTTTTTTGCAAATCAGAAAAAAAATCCGGGAAACAACAAATTAAATTGGTGGCCATACTAAAAACTGTTCAGAAATCATTACCATAATTTTTTTTTAAATACTTCATACTGTGGTGACAGTCAATGAAGCAAATAAAAATCCACATACACCTACTTGTGTATGTACACACATTCAGTACATGGACCAGTGCAGGTTAGGTGCAGGTAGACATCAGAAATACCTGCACAGCTCCAATTTTACCTGCACTAACCTGCATATACCCAGTACATGGACCAGTGTAGGTTAGGTACAGGTAGACATCAGAAATACCTGCACAGCTCCAATTTTACCTGCACTAACCTGCATATACCCAGTACACTGACCAGTGCAGGTAGGTGCAGGTAGACATCAGAAATACCTGCACAGCTCCAATTTTACCTGCACTAACCTGCATATACCCAGTACATGGACCAGTGCAGGTTAGGTGCAGGTAGACATCAGAAATACCTGCACAGCTCCAATTTTACCTGCACTATCCTGCATAATTATGGATCAGAATTTTCAATAAAGGAGCAGGTTCAAATCTTGTTTAATGAATGAATGACCTTTATTGTAAAGACATACCCACTTTGTTAAGTACAAGTTACTAATAAGGAATAGCTTGTAATATACATTGTACATGTACATGTATACATTGTACAGTGTACTATACTATACATGTACATGTACATTGTAGCACTAGCACTACAGTGTATAATGTATCATGATTGCATTTTTTCACAGACATTTCAACCTACGGCTGAAGAGAGATACATCGATCTTCTCACCGAACTTTAAACTGGAGACTGAACATGGAGAGGAAGACTATGACACTTCCCACATCTACAGTGGCGGCCTGTATGGTGAGTTATCATTCGCTATCCTCCTTGATACTCGCTCGCTACTAAGCACATTCATATATAAGTCTCTACTATAAAATTTCAACATTATGTAATCCAACACCAGATACCATGGTGAGAGACAGTCTAGTTGACCAGGTCAGAGGTCAGTGTTTGGAACGGAAGAAGAAGAGGAAACTGAGCAAAAACAATATGTTTTCCTTCGGTAAACATAATGACTGCAATACTTAGTTGAAGGTCAATGACCTCTTTCATGGTACGATACCTCCAGTGCACCTTGGGTCGTTGCAGTACTCCCAGTGAGTGTTATTGTCAGTGGTGTAGCACCAAATGGTGAACCAACGCTTGGCCGGCATTCGGCAGTAGTTCTCCACCAACTCGGGATAGACATTTGGCCAAAAATTGTGAGCATGTGGAGACTGGGTGTCCCATCGCTGACAGGTTTTCCCACTTCTGGTCACGGAAAGGTTCCCGCGGTAGTCTGATCCGTCTGAAGGCATGATCGCCTCACAGCCTATATACAATAATTTTGTACCATCAAGAGATGTTGTTAGGATTGCTGCAAACACAGCAGATATATGAGAAGTTTATTGCAAATTCGTGCCCGGGGGCTAATTGCAAATTACAAACATAAAAGAACAATGAAACAGAGTATAAAATAACTAAAATCTACACAATAAAAGGTAGTTGTCTAAAGCTATAGCTATGTCTAAAACTATGTCTAAGGGGTTTGACTTCTCTTTTTTAGACCATGGAAGACGTATTGTCCCACCTTTTCCAAAATTAGTGGGTTTCGGGAAGTCAAAAGAAGAACAGTTTTTTCTTTGTCTGTAAGTTAAGTAAAATTGGGAATAATTGTAGAAGTTTGAATACTATTAGTTATTTTAACTGACTCATTTCGAACATTGCTATTAAAGGAACAATTTGAGATAAAGTGTATTTCGTCTTCCACAGCCTTTGCATTACAATATTTACAAATTCTTTCACATACAGGTACAATGTAGCCTTCTATACCGGCCTCTCCAGAGGATGGGAGCTAACTCTAATTTTGCCATAATGGATCAATGATGAGGTCTTAGCATTATATATAGTTCATCTCTTTTGGTATAATACATAATTGCCAAAAAGGCTATAAAGTTTATGTTCCATTAGGTCCCGGAAGCTGCAATAGACTCGGTTCATTCTGTGAGCAAGGCTGACAGAGCAAAATTTGAGGAGTCCCAATTTACTTAGAATACAATCACAAAAGTCCCATCTATTGCTGATGTGTTACATGGAAGGGCAGTTATGCTGGCTATACAGATACAGAATTAGACCTTATTATAACCACATTCTGGCATATCACAAAAGTCCCATCTATTGCTGTTGTGTTATATAATTACACAGAAGGGCAGTTACATTTTTATACCAGGCTATACAGATATAGAATCAGACCTTACCACATCCTGGCACATCACAGAAGTCCCATCTCGGTGTGTTTTCCATGACGTAGCACCAAACCCCCGGCTCCTGATCAGGATTACGGCAGTAGTTCTGCTCCAGCCCTGCTGACGGGTAGTTCTCCGGAGTCCTGGAGTGTTCGTGGGGTGTCTGACTCTCCCAGCGCTGGCACGGCACGCCTTTTTTGGTCACGTTGACTGTTCCTCTGTAGGATGCCCCATTCCCTACCTGGCAAGTTGCTATTGGATGAAATTCAGAAAAAAGAACATCACTCAGAGCTCGAAATACTGGGTGCATGTGCACCTTAGTGCACCCGAATTTGGAGATGTGCACCCAATTTTTTTCAGTGGGTGCACCAGTGCACCCAAATAATTTTGTAGGCATTTTTGTACAGGATAATTATATATTTCCACTCTCGCCAAGGTGATCGATTAAGGATTGGGTGGAAAAGACCTCGGCGAGCTAGTGTCGAGTGTCTGCTCCCTGTCATACATGCGACTCTCACCGTGAGTGTGGGGTGGGCGGGGGGGGGGGATTTATTTTCGTCCCGCTCATTTCCGTCCAGCCTTCTCCTTTCTTGCGTCCTCTACCCTAAAGACAGTCTGGGTACTGAGCATTATGGTCGACTTGGGGTTATTCCCTACCCCAGCCTTTAATACTGGCCTTGACTAAACATACGCGACCTATACCCGAGGACCTATCTCTAGCTGTTGCTCTTTTTCCTCTTCCTCGTCCACCCCTCTATTACTTATTACCTCGACCTGGCGGCTCATACTCGTACCTCCCGACGTAACGTTTCACCCGCCAGTGCTTGCGGCATCGATGGCCATTTGCCAGGCGTGGGCTTCCCATGACGCTGCCGGTCAAGAACTTGAATTTCCCCGCCTACCCTTAAAGAAACCATCAGTGTGTCTACATCATCTACCCTGACGCCCGGTACTCGCCGCGCCGAGTTCACGTCGCTCTAATTACCAGGCTACTCACGAGACGGGTTGTACGCTAACCCCGCTACCTTCTCTCTGTCACCCAGCTTCACAAAACTGATGAAGTATGAGGGGGTGGTCACATGGCCTGACATCTCGCTCAACAAGAGTCTCGCGAGATGTCAGTCCATTGTGACGTAAGTGGGAATAATTATATATTTCCACTCTCGCCAAGGTGATCGATTAAGGATTGGGTGGAAAAGACCTCGGCTACGCTACAGTGATCGGTTGCCTTAACCCCTGTCATAGGCTCACTCTCAAACCTCTTCCTCATTATCCCCCAATCCTTATCCTTCCCATTCCTTACCCTCTCCTCTCCCATTCCTTACTCTAAGTGTCACGTAAGGCAAAGACACTCAGTAGGCCAAGACACACCATGAGAGGGTAGTCTTCTTTTCTTTTATTCAATCTCGATTTAAAGTCTGTGGAACTCGCCCGCCTGGGGCACAAATACTGAGTCCCCGAACTGTAGTCACTGAGCCCTCACTCGCAACAAGCTTGCCAGCAGTTCTTGTACTACTGGCCGTGGTCCGTAAAGGAGCGGGGCCCGTTCCAGACCCATTTACCCACTGGATAGCCGACACCTTCTCTTCCCAGAGCCTCAGTGGATCAAGGGCTACTTGCGCCTGCTTTCCAAAACTGGGATGATGACGGTATACGTGATGCTGGTATCATGCATACACACATGTTTCTAAAGCACTTCAATCTTATCTCATCCTCAAGTGTACCCCAAACTCTCGGGTACGGGTACATCTCCTTCGGTTTCTCTAATCTAAAACGGTAACCCTTCCGTTTACTCAAATATGTCGGCTACCTTAAGTAAATTTAGGTCTGGAGGGGCCCTCGCTCGCTTCCCGGGCCACGAGCCGAAGCTATAAGGTGGCGGCAAACCTATTGGGGAAAGCACGCACGGTCCACGAGTTAGGGCTTAGCCAGCCATAAAATGCCAAAACTAGGTAGCTATCTCAAATACATACAACCGAAAAATTGTACTACTCAAAGCGCCTTCCTATGCGTTTACGGTACGCATCTCCATACGACGTACAAAACAAAGAAAAATGACCAATTGCAAGGCCAAACCAAAAGGTCAATGGCTAAAGGAAGACGACCGAAAACTGTCCCACCGTCTCCCCTTCTGCTATAGATAGCCTTTATGGAAGACGACCGAAAACTGTCCTATTGCCACCCTCTGCTATCGGTTGTCGCTATGAAAGACGACCGAAAGCTGCTCTACTGCCTCTCCTCCTAGCTGCTGTCGGTAGTCGCCAAGTGACCAAAAGACGATCAGAAGACTACCGAAATCTGCCCTCAATCTCCAACCCCCCTTGAGGTTGTCGGAAACCTCCACGCATAGGGAGAGCGAAACTATTCAGTTTCCCATCTAACTCGAGATTGTCCAACAACCTCTATCCCGGGGAAAGCGATAAACCATAAAACTGTCCAACAGTTTTCCGCAATAAATTTTGAGACTGTCCGACAGCCTCTACCACTACTGATACCTGACCCTGACCTTCAGTTTCTCGCTTCGAGATTGTCCAACAACCTCTATGCACCGGCAAAGCGATATGCCATGCGTAAAACCGTCTAACAGTTTTACGCACCAAATTCTGAGACTGTCCGACAGTCTCTAACACTTCTGGTACACGAAACTGTCCAACAGTTTCTCGCTTCGAGATTGTCCAACAACCTCTAACCAGGGGAAGCGATATGCCATAAAACTGTCCAACAGTTTTACGCCCCAAATTCTGAGACTGTCCGACAGTCCCTACCACCTCTGATACACGAAACTGTCCTACAGTTTCTCGCTTCGAGACTGTCCGACAATCTCAGAGAAGCTCCGCCAACACCAAAAGGAAACTAACAAGAATTGTCCCACAGTCTTTCCCCGAAATAGGCCTCAGGTTGTTCCACTATCAGCCCGATGCCAATCCGTTGATTATCCGACAATCTAGCAAACGCAGGGCCAAACGGAAAAAATGACCAAAATTTCACAAACTTTTCCTTCCGAGGAAACGAGCCATCAACGCTTAAAACACACGAAAAGGGGAAAAATACGAGACTGAAAGAAGTGTGAAACGCTCCGAGGTACACACACGTGATTCCGGGGCGGACACACGCAAAAATAAGGTCGTAAAATGACGGAGGCAAAACTCCTACCCACGGCGTCTCTGCGTTCCGTGCCGTGACTCCCTGCGGGAATGGCCAGTGCCGACAACGCGGAACTGGATCCCGAGAGAACTGTCACTATCTTCGGGATGCCTGGTCGCTCTATCTGGTGGCAGGGGTTTTGCTGCAGCGCTACCGCCGGGTCACACTCCCGTTCCGCCCGGGGCGGCAAGACGCTCCGCCCGGGGCGGGAAATCCCTCTCGCTGACCGGGCTGTACACGGCCGCTGGCAGGCCTGCACCCACGGGCTGGTTTCCACTCGTGGTCAGCGTTGTACTCGCGTTCGGGGTCGCTACAGTGTTCCTCCGGGAGTCTGCAACTGTGAAATAGAAAACACGTTACCCAGAGGAAGAGGGATAGCACACGTACTTAATATTATCTACCGAGGCATGCACGTGCGCTGCCACGTCGACAAATCTTTATCTAGCCTGCGCTCCAAAATACCACCAGACAAACCTGTTTCCTCAAGACACTACCACAACAGTACCTTCTAAACCAGGTAACGAACGCGGGAATTCTCCATGGAACCAGAATAATGCTGCCACCGCTGGAATCACAGAAAAATGGCCGGATCAACCGGAGCTAAACCACACGCTACCTTCGCTGGGGCTGGCTTCACAAAACTGATGAAGTATGAGGGGGTGGTCACATGGCCTGACATCTCGCTCAACAAGAGTCTCGCGAGATGTCAGTCCATTGTGACGTAAGTGGGAATATGCTTGGCATCTAAGTGTCAGAAAAATAATAAAATCTTTTATGTAGTACTTGTTTAATATTTTATAATTAAGATTATAAGTTAGCTCCCATTTCAGACTCAATCTTAGAAGAGGAGCAGTAAGATTTTTTATGGTGCACCCAAAAATTTTTTGTGCACCCAATTTTTTAGGTTGGGTGCACCACTGTACCTATTCCCAAAAATGAATTTCGAGCCGTCATTACATGTAACTTTAGCCTGTTTATGACTGTCTCTTGTCACGTGATAATTACATCATGTCAAATCAAATCATGTCCAGGACAAAAGGTAAAAAAAAATAATAATTTAAAGTGCTGCAGTACCAAGGACAGCTGCCAGGAGGCCTAAAACTGACCATGTCATCTTAAGCTTTGCCTTCCCAAGGGTACATACACATGTACGTAGTACCATATTGTCACTGTCTATATTGTCTTAAGTTATGCTGACTAAAATCATTTGAAAATACAAACAAACGGAACTCAAAATTACCAGGATTTCATGTTTACAGTCTGAGGTACATAAAGCTATATAATGACAAGTTACTTTATGTACTAGTAGTAGACAGAATACACAATTAAAAAAAAAAGAACCTGATTTATTCACAGACGAATCAGTTGTCTGCAAGGTGCTTTGCTCCCAATAGGGGGTGCTGTGAAACTGTGTCCAGCCAACAAACGTGTACATATGCATGGAGGCTTTTGTCATACATGGCCCACCCTTTGAAGTTTGACCTGACAGAAAGGAAACAAATGATCACCATCCAGTTTTTAGCTCACTGAAGAGCTAATCTCCCACTGGTCGTAACAGAGAAGACAGACGCTATGTACAGTATTTACAGGTTCATTGTACCAGGGAAATTCCACTAGGTCTTATCGACAAGCACATTTAAGAACAGTGGACCACAGCCACCCAAAAATCTGCTTCAAGTGATTATTTGACTGTTCGCCTTTCAATGTATGAAGAAACACATTTGAGAAACGTTATCCATCCTTCGATCCCGTTCCACTCTATCGCAGAGCATAGGGGTGGTGCCCATATATATTTCTGTAGCCCTTGCCTTGGGTGACACACAGTTGTGCAATGCACTACAGCAGGGGGCTAGTCTGCTGGTAGTGCTGTGTGTTTGACCTTCCCACATTCTTCCTCATAATAATAATTATGTGCTGAGTGCTAAGCAGAGAAAGAAGTGTGTACCATTTTTAAAGTCTTTGGTATGACTAATAATATCTAATATACTAAGGTATGATAAAAACATCCTTGCTTACCACACAAGATGAAGCAAACTATGGTGAGTGTCATGCAGAAGCGGAGAGACATTTTCTTCTCTCTCATGATCTTATCACTCTTCAGCCCTGCACAATCCCAAATAGGATATACTCAGAGGCCCAGAGAGTTGGTCCAAAGCAACCGGTCTGCTGCCGAGTCTCAAAATGTACAAAATGTCAAGGAAAGGAAAGGAAATTTGTCTGCCTTTTCTACAAAATATTCAGAGACGAGTGCAACAGAGACGAAATTGTATACTAGTACTTAAAAGTCAAAGACTTCACAGTGATGTGAACTTGAAAACCAATGTTTTCACTTCCTTGACATTCAACAACGGGAGAGCACACGGCATTACCCACCCGCTTTTCGCCTTTGTCTTTGCCCGCTGCGGCCTAGCGATTCTTCGTTTGATCAGCTTTGTTCGCGCTTTTCCACTTCAAACGAGTCATGACATCATGTGCTCCGATCTGCGCCGAGCACAGTTTGAAATGATAGAACCGTCCTTACTTCCACCTAACTGTTCCTCTGAAACTGACACTAGCTACTGTACCTCGGCTGTTTCACAATTGAGTGTACCCATTTACTTTTCCACATGTTACCAGTTGATAGCAAAGTCTACATGATATATTGATGTTTCAGACTTATATTTCCCAAAAGCTGGTGTGACAAGGAACATTACAATAAAAAAGTAGGGAAATCGGTCAATATTTGGCGAAACTATCGACAAATATATTACTTAAAAATGCCCCATTTTCAATGTTACCAGCCGTCATTCAGTTTTTTCACATTCTTACCATTGCTGCAGACATCACAAATATGATTGATAGCTTAAAATTTCTTATTTTGTACAAGCAGGCATATGTTTACTAGAGATTTGTTACCAATTTTTGAAGATACACCTACCTTTTTTTTGCCGGGAAGGTTATTTTTCACTTTTACCCCCATGTTACCAATTTTAGTGAAATATTTACTTAAAGATTGCAAGGTCTGTAGCATTGTTTAAATATGCTGTTATAAGTGCTAGTTTGACATGTAAAGGTTTAATATGATGTATGTAAAAGAAAAAAATTGAATGAGATCATTCCTACTTTCATCTGACTCACAGCTAAGGGTTGAAGTACAGGCTGCCATTTTCCGAAAAATTTTCGTCCCGTACGTACCCCCTCTTGATTTCTACATTGAGTAAATACTATAAGCTTCTAATTGTGATGGCTTATAAGTTTCTATTGGCATATACCAAACCACCATAGAAACCATTTCTGTGATAAAGACTTTGCCTGATATAGCACAACAAACCCCCAAATGTCCCGTCCGTACCCCTGTCCCGTCCGTACCCCCCACCTGTCCCGTCCGTACCCCCACTTTTAGTTTTTAGCCAAATACTGTGGAAAATGGCATTCCAAATGCTTGAAATACACATAGTAAAACCTTAAAAGATACAAACATTTGTCCTCCTTACTAAAATTAGTAGTTTTTAATGAATTCATTAACATTTGCTTTCATCCGGAGGAAGCTCTTGTGGACATAGTCTACTGTGGACTCACGTGCATGTGAACCAACTTTAGAGAACTGTTCTGGTTCTCTGAAAAAGGTATTAACAAGCCAAGGTTTAAAAGAAAACATACCAGTTCATGTACATTTTGTAGCTGTGCTAGAAATTAAGATTCTTTCAAGGGAGGAGGGTTGCCAATAACTCTGAATTTAGACTACAAATCCTGCAGCGCCCCCCCCCCCATTCTTTTCTTTGAGCACACTCAAATATATAAATGTACAGGTTCTGATATGTTATGTTATGTTATTAATGCTGTTACTAATGTTCCCAAAGCCTTTTTAGCAATATTAGTAATTAGAATCCTTAAATACCTACCATTGGCTGATTTCTTTTAAGGAAAGCCCTAAATTATATAAGCCAGCAAAAGTTTCTGTTCAGTGTTCATACTATAATATAAAGAAAATTCTAATTAGAATGTCCAGCTCCCTTTTCCTTAGTCTAGACACTATTACAGTGTTTGTAGATGCTTCATTTACTAGTATTAGTGAATAAATGTGTTTAAAAAGGTTTGGACAAGTCCCTGCAGTATCAGTCTTTTGACCCATTGTGTCCCGTCCGTACCCCCACATACAGTCATAAAAATGATCATTGAAAAGTCCATTGATGTGTTTCCAAGATATATAAGCTAGAACCTTTTGTAGAAATATATACAGAATGAAATATTAACAGAGTTAAGCTTCCAAATTGCCTGAACTTGAAAATTTGGTATTTGACCTTTCCTTGAACATGAAATGGCAGCAAGTTGTTTTCCTCGTAATATAATAAATGACCAGAAAATGACACAGCAAGGTGTTACTGCAAATCAAAGTCAGTTTTTTGGTGTTGTGGATACTAGTAATGGAAGATAATATGGAATAGTGTTTATCTTTTGTTCTTTATTTGGGTATATTCTATGTAACTTTACATACAGTCTTGCAGTTGTCCCGTCCGTACCCCCTTAGTGACCCATTATGTAAAAGACCTGTATCACAGTGACTGAGATGTGTTGTGCAGAGATATTTTAGGATATGAAGCCCAAAGTATGTACCTTTGAATTGCCAACATAAATTTTGAAGTATATGAAAGTTGATTTTTCACCCCAAGTGACAGCCTTTTGGTACACTCAATTGTGAAACAGCCGACCTGGATTTATATTAATCCCAATAGGTTTTCTATGCCGAAAACTCAATACTCACATGTCACTATGTTATAGAAATACCTTGTGCAGTTTTCCTATGAATCACTAGGTGGCATTGTGTTTCCTCCCTGCAGGCTACCCTGACACTGTTGCACACGGCAGTATCATAGAGGGCAGGTTTGAGGGTTTTGTGCACGCTCACCACGGCAAGTACTACATCGAGCCAACCGAGCGATACTTTGATGGACCACAACGTTTCCACTCTGTCATATACATGGACCAGGATATCAAGTATCCACATAGGTACATACTAGTAGTTATTTCTTCTAAGAAAATGGCCCACTTTTAAGAAAATGGCCCACCTTTAAGAAAATGGCCCACCTCACATATAGCGTGGGACAATTCTAGGTCAATTGGCGAAGCTTAGTGACAAAAATGTACAGTTCATGATGGCATTATGAAAAGAAATATTCTACACCTCACAAATACTTCTTGCAGAGGACATTGTATACTACTCAAGTTTGGCTGCCTAACACTGTACATGTATAATACTTGTACAACTGTAGGTATGGTCCGTATGGTGGATGTGGGATGGACCACAAACTCCAGGACTGGATGGAGGCAGTACAGAACTCTGCTGTGGAAGAGAACAAGAACTCCTCTGCACCACACAAGGTACATAATGATCTGTCCCCAAATCATTCAATGTTTTACTGAGCAATAACTAACACTGGGTTTAAATTGAAATACATGTAACAATTTACCAGCGGGAAGGATACATGTATATCATGTCTAAAAAAAGTAGTCAAGATTACAATTATGGGACATGTAAAACCTGGCACCTACATGTAAAACACTTGAAGTTTCACTGTTTTTTCTCAGGATGAGAAGAAAGAAACTTGAAATTTCACTGTTTTTTTATCAGGATGAGAAGAAAGAAACTTGAAATTTCACTGCTGTTTTTTCTCAGGATGAGAAGAAAGAGACTTGAAATTTCACTGTTTTTTTTCAGGATGAGAAAAAAGAAACTTGAAATTTCACTTTTTTTCTCAGGATGAGAAGAAAGAGACTTGAAATTTCACTGTTTTTTCTCAGGATGAGAAAAAAAGAAACTTGAAATTTCACTTTTTTTTCTCAGGATGAGAAGAAAGAGACTTGAAATTTCACGCTGTTTTCTTAGGATGAGAAAAAAAGAAACTTGAAATTTCCCTGTGTTTTCTCAGGATGAGAGGAAAGAAACTTGAAATTTCCCTGTGTTTTCTTAGGATGAGAAGAAAGAAACCGTGCAACAGTCCAGGAAGAAGAGGGCTCTGGGTTCAACGAACCCAGAAGTTCTTCAAAGGGGTTCCTGTGAGATGTACATCCAGGCAGACCACAAGTTCTTCGAGTACTTCCAGACTCGGGATGCTGTCATTGGACAGATTTCCTCTCACATCAAGGCGATAAACCTCATCTACAAGGACGTCGTCTTCGCTGACTCCAACAGCAACGGAATCACAGGGGTGACCTTCACAGTACGCAGAGTCAAGGTCAGCAGAACAAACAAGAACTTGTACTGAGATTTGTACATTTATAAATAAAATTAAACTTGAAACAACAAGTATTGTTGATAGAATAGAAGCTTGATACATCAATACCTACATAATGTATATTTCTTCAGTCAGTGTAATAATTTTACTGTGTGCTGTATAGTTATGATTATGTTTACCAAATGAAAACATATTGTTTTTGCTACGTTTCCTCTTCTTTCTCTTCTTCTCCAAACCAAAAAGGTCAATGACCTGAACCAGACGTCTGTCACCATGGTAACTAGTGTTGGGTTACATCATGTTGCAATTTTATAGCAGGAGGGATTTCAACTCCTGTCACCATGTATATGAATGTGTTTGAGTAAGAATTAACAGAGCAGACCATATGCAACAGTAAACATTAATGTTTTGCAAATGTTACATTTTCTTATTTTTATTTGTTCTTTTTGCAGGTGAATGAGACCTCGGGATGTTCAGACCCGGGCGGTACCTCGTGTAGGAACCCCTTTGCTCCAGACAACATCGGTGTGGAGCGTTTCCTGGAGATCAACTCGGAAGCGAACCATGACGACTACTGTCTGGCGTACGTCTTCACGGACAGAGACTTCGACGATGGTGTGCTCGGACTGGCCTGGGTCGGGTCAGCGTCAGGTATACTGTTAATTTTTTTTTTTGTGGCAAATTAATTCTGCAACAGAGGGGGAAAGAATATTTTTTTGGTGTTTAAACACATTGTTACAGTTTAGTTACATCCGAAAATAGTTTCAGCAGGTTGATAAAGTATAGGATACAGGAGATTTCTTTCCACAACCAAGAAATTTACCTTGCTGACGTTTTGATGTCTATCAGACACCTTCCTCAGAGCTTCTGACTGGAGTTCTGCTTCAGGTCTCAATATGTAGCCATGTAGGTGGCGTTTTTGCGGCGAGAACACAATCCCAAACATGGTTGAGTTTGTACCGCCCCTCGTCCCGGTTCATCACTGGGGTCGATCCAAACTGCTTCTTTAATCCAACGGATTCTCCTGTTTTCTCTTTCAATGACCTATGGTCCCCTCCCAGTCTATCCCACAGTTGTTTCTAGAAATGTTAAGAAGAAAGTATTGTTACAGTTTTTGTTACAGTTGTTACAGATCATTGCAAAAATATAAAACAATTGAGAACATTGCACACAAATTAGACTAGTATTTGAATACATCATTTTGTATATGGCAAACCTGTGTCAAACAGTATATTATTACCATACAGAACTATTATGTTTCACTATGAAGGCAGTACCATACAAATGTAACTGTTTCAGTAAAAGTTGATCCACAATTCACAAATTATTTTGTTTTCCCCTTACAGGGAGCTCTGGTGGAATTTGTGAGAACTACAAGAAGTACTCAGACGGGAAGTACAAGTCTCTGAACACAGGAATCGTGACCATTCACAACTACGGCAGCCGTGTGCCCCCCAAAGTCTCCTACATCACCTTCGCTCACGAAGTCGGACACAACTTTGGCTCTCCAGTGAGTGAAAATTAATTTTACTGACTAGTAAAAAAACTGTCCATATATTGTATCAGTCATAAGAAATGTCTTTTACAAATAAGCTATTTTACATTTGCAGTTTATATTGTATGTAATTACAATTATGGGTTTATCAGGAAAAAGGAATAATGTGCATAGATACATGTAAGACTTTGACAGAGCTCAAAGATGGTTGCTTTACAAAACTGTTAAAACTTATGATGTTAGTTTGCACTGACCACTAAAATTTAGACTGGGACAACTAAAAAGACACTTTGGGATATTTTTGGGACAATAGAAAAATAATCAACATCATCAGAATGTCAGCCCTACTTTTGTTTATCAGGCACACGTCCCGGCTTTTGTATCTGGAAAAGTCCCCCAAATTTCCCATCTGCTCTGCAATTATAGTGCGCCTGGGAGTGAACATAAGCAAAATAAAGTTGACTTCAAGTTGAAGTCATACATGTACAATACTTCCCCCAAAACAGGTTAGGACAGTTCATCCTCACTTCGGGACAATTGAAATTTATTTTTGGGACAGTGCTGGGACAACTGGAAAAAAAGTTTATTTTGAGGCCTGCCTAATACATAGTGCCAAAGTTAAAAATTTTTTTTTCTTGCTGTAGCACGACACCAAAGACTGCGCCCCTGGTGGAGAAGACGGTAACTTCATCATGTACGCCCGCGCTACGTCTGGAGACAAGACCAACAACAACAAGTTCTCAGCCTGTAGCAAGGGCAGCATCTACCGAGTCCTGGACGCCAAGATTGTGGGCAGCTCTAGTACCAGCTGTTTCACAGGTTGGTCATTACTTCTGGGACAGAAGTATTGTTTTGGGTGGTGCTAATTTATGCTAGGTTTGTATGCTTTGGTTCCCGATTTGGTAGGATAGTGTAATATAGTACAACTGTAATCCCAGAGTCCTGGATGCCAAGATTGTGGGCAGCTCCAGTACCAGCTGTTTCACAGGTTGGTTGTTACAGCCGGGACAGAAGTATTGTTTTGGGTGGTGCTGATTTATGCTAGGTTTGTTTGCTTTGGTTCCTAACTTGGATGGATAATAGTACTGAATGTTGTAATTCATCCAGGTGTATCTCTTAATAATCATATAATACAAATGAAGCTACAATTGAAATTATTACAAAATGTATACATTTATTTCAGGTATGTCTTTTGGTTGATGTGGTGAGCAACATGTTGTATTGACTGTTGCAAAGTGACAATTACAAAGTATAATGACACCAAAAATGTTTTGAAATATTTTACGTTTGGGCATGCATCTACACAAATGCATATAGCAGCGACACCTGTGCTGCAGTGCAATGTGAACCAGTCAGAATTGCCCTGAGGAAGGTGACAGACGGTCACTGAAATGTTGGCTGAATAAAACTCTTGGTTATGAAAAAAAGAGTCTCTTAACTCAGTAACTTACCAACCTGTAGAAACTATTCACGAATGTTTTGAAACATTTTTCTCTTTTCAGAAACGAATGCTGCGATCTGTGGTAACGGTATAGTAGAGGAGGGTGAGGAGTGTGACTGTGGTTACCAGGACCACTGTGAGAGAACAGGAGAGGACAACTGTTGTGTACCGGCCGGTAACCCCAACCCCTGTAAACTCAAGCCTGGGAAACAATGCAGGTCTGTATCTTACCTCGTTGTATTTCCTGTTTCCTGTTTCAGTCCTAAAAAAAATCAGGGTTGGTAGATAGGGATTATCTTTTTTTTCTTACTTCTCCAACTTATACAATGTAACAATTGGGGGTTTATAGGCGCTACCAACTGACCCGGCCGAGGGGTCTAGACCTTTTAGCCGGGTGGTTAGAGCGTCGGCATATGGACTGGTGCCCGGGTTTGGTTGTGGGTTCAAACCCCGGCCCGGGACCAGGAGTTTCTTTCTGTTTCTACTCACTCCTCCTGTTTCTTACAACAATACAGTTTAACAAATTTGAAAGTAAATCTTGCATAAGAACTAGTCTTCTTATATTTTCAAACTCAATGTTGGAAAACTGATTGTACAACATTTCATCACTCAAGTGTCAGATCATGGAGCAAGAAAAGGTCGATTAGCTCAAAAAAACTTATATTACACTGTTCCTTCTATTGGTCCACACAAAAAAGGCTAGGGTCGGCAGTTTTTTCTAGGGTCGGTCGGGAAACAGGAAACACAAGATTTTCTCCTACATGTATGCCTCAGATCTTTTGAATTTACAGAATACCGGGGTACATACATGTATATTATGGATTACAATGTACTTCCATGTTATCCTATTTAAGGCCACACCAAGTAAATTTTATGGATGACGTCCTTTGGAGACCGTATATCTAATGCGAGAGGGCGAAAAAAAAACAAGAAGGGCCCTAAAAAACAAGATGCCTAGATTAGAAATATACTAAGAGACAACAAATGTTAGGACACAAATTGAATGAGGTGACACAGATTAACAAGCAAGAAGTATTTTATTCATCATCAAAACAGCAATAAATCAGGCGGAACAGCAGTTGTCGTCCTGTCCTATTTCTTTCATCACATTTTTGCAGGCCGGCAGAAACAAAGCATAAAATTGCGACACTGTCGTCACTCTTTGGTCACAGTTAAAGGAAGCGGAATTTCTTGTTTTTTTTTCTAGGAACAGGTCAAAATCAATGCGCGCGAGGACGTCATCCATAAAATTTACTTGGTGTGGCCTAAGAAATAGAAAAAAAGGGATTTTGAAATATATTAAATGTAGGTTGACTTTTGTCTTTTCTTCCATCAGCCCAAGCCAAGGCCCATGCTGCACATCCACCTGCATCCCTAAACCTACAAGTGTGCGATGTTCCAAGGAATCAGAGTGTAGTGATGCAGCCAACTGCGAATATCCTTTTTCTCTAAAGTCTAAGTCACTGAGTAAAGAGACTTTTTCTACACAACCAAGTGTTTTATTCAGCCTACGTTTCAGCCCAACTCCTGTACGTTTGGGAATGTATTGTAGATACAGTTTCCTGTAACCACGCATCTGTGTAGATATGTAAATATTGTACATTTGGGAATGCATCTTTAGCAGCGACACCTGTGCTGCAGTGCATTGTGAACCAGTCAGAATTGCCCCGAGGAAGGTGACAGACGGTCACCAAAACATCAGCTGAATAAAAGACTTGGTTGTGTAGAAAGTCTCTTTACTCTGTATCATCCAAGGTACATGTACTAGGCTGACTGTGGGTTGGATTTCCCAAAGGCCAAAGGCACAATGCTCTGTGTTGTACGGTATTTCAATTATGTCATACCCACCAAAGAAAATACACAGTTCAGTGCAAAAGGTGCCAAAATTTGGTGTTCCCAAATGACATCTACAACATCCGAATCCGGTATTCAAATTTTCTAAAGCAGCACACTTTGTGCTTACAAAATGCGTTTGAATTATTTTATGGCACATTTGGAAGCCCATGTGATAAACATTAGAACTCTGTGTGATAAAGGTAGTTATCACACAGGGCCTGGAACACCTGTATAAAACATTATCATGGCCCAGCTATGACATATAAGTAGGTGCAATATCCTAACTGCCGTTAAAGATTCTAGGCACTGTGATAGTTTGAACCTTAACCTTTTCTTACTGGGACCAACCCTCAGTGCCCCTCCCCACAAGCCAAGGGCAACAAGACAGAGTGCAACAACGGGCGCCAGGTCTGCTGGAGCGGAGTAAGTGTTCAGTCAAAACAGTCTGACATTTAATCTGTTTCCGAAAATGCAATTTTCTTCTTGCTTTCTATCTTGTTATGTACTGATTCTTGCATGTATGTACATGTAAGTCAGTGTGATAATGTTATCGTGGTATGGTCACATTGTTAGGCCACACCAATTTAATTTGTTGGTTCTCAGATTCGCCTCTTCAATTTTTTCTGATTTGCAAAAAAAAAATGATTCTGGTTCTAAATCAACTCAAATATGCTCATATTTTGCCTCCAACAGTTGAGGAAAGTCCTTTTTCTTCCTAGGTGTTACAGTTTTTCCATCTATCAATGTAGTGGTTTGATAAAAATTCATTGTGAAAATATTAACCCAGCCTTTTGTGCTGACTTCATGGCTCCTATCGTAGCATTTGGGGCTATAATAGGATGTTTTTCTTTTTTTCCCTGTCACTTCATATTTTTTCTTTAAAATCTGAGAACCAACAAATTAAATTTGTGTGGCCTAAATTACTAAAAGTTACGGTAGTACTTTGTATTTATGAATCGTTCTTTTGCCAGATTTGCCAGGGTTCCATCTGTGAGAAGTTTGACCTTGAAGAGTGTACCTGTAGTCTGAACGACGCTGAGAACAACCGACAGGAGCTGTGTCATCTGTGCTGTCAGGTGCCAGGTACGGGGTGGTGTCTGTTAGTCAGTTAGTCAGTTAGCTCTGCCACCTGGGTTGTTAATGCTTGGGTCAATGGGAAGATTAACTAACGGACCGCGGAAAAGTGGCCATAACAGTTAACCAGGTGGTTCTTATGCAGATGTGGGCACTAGTAACAGTACAGGTTTAACTGTACTCTGCTAAAAATTCGCTCTTTGCCCTATAACTTAACCATAATGGAGCATATAGCAACAACAACAATTCTTCATTTTTACAATAATTTGCCTCAGCTTGGATGTTCTTTCTGCCTGGGTCCCTCTGATGCTTAGGTCTTCTCAATGTTGGTGTTTCGTCTGGAGCTGTCTTTGTTGGTGTCTTTTGCTTTAAGGTGCATTTACGTGTACTGCTTGGTGAACGGTAACAATTATTGTTACTCATGCTGGTCTAAGGACTCAATGTTGCAGTTTGGTGTCTTGTCTGGATCTGTGTCTTGTCTGCTGTCTCTTGTCTGTTTAAGATGTTAATGGTTTTCTCAGGTTACTGCTTGGTGAGACATGGTGATCGTTACTGGCTTTCCAGGCGTGTCTACAAATTAAGTCCTACTTTCTTCTCGACATCTTCTTAACACGTGTTGGACGATGGTTGTCTTCAAAGAGCTTTCCTTTTACCATGCTTGCTTGGTGAAGCCTGACTACATCACGCTTCTACATGTAGCAGCCTTTCAGCTGGTCAAGCCCTGAGAAGTTTGGTGACCAAGTCATGAGAATTGGGACCATGTTATTGTGTGATATCATGGATCAATCATTGTCAGACCGAGAACTATCTGTTACCATGGTGTTGAAGGTTGTAATGACTGGTTTCCATAGTGATACAGAATCCTGAGCTCCTATTGGAGTGATTTTCATAGTGATAAAGAATCCTGAGCTCCTATTGGACTGACTTTCATAGTGATAAAGAATCCAGGCCTCCTATTGGACAGATTTCCTTAGTGATAAAGAATCCTGAGCTCCTATTGGTAGTTCTGGGAATGGGGATGGTTCCCTGGTGTTATAGGTGTATGGTCACAAGCTCTCAAGGTGAAGAAACTCTACACATAACAGCAAGAGAATTTTTGTGTAACACACGCTTTTGGGTGGATCTGTAACTTGGTGACGGGTTTTGGTGCCACCTGTACGTTGTCCGTCTCTGCTTGCTTGAAATGTTTGTGTTATCGACGAATTTAAAGGAAACCCAGACACTTGCAAGAGTAGCAACAGCTCAGAGTGGCCGGCAGCCAGGTACAGGGAGATGACATCACGCGGGATCATCAACGCGCCGCCAGGAGCGCCATGCGACAACTTCCAGGGGTACTGCGACGTGTTTTTCTTGTGTCGTCAAGTGGACGCGGATGGACCGCTCTCCAGGCTGAAAAACTCCATCTTCAATGCTGAGACCATCAAGACAGTTGTTGAATGGATCAGGGTATGTGCTTATTATGTTTACATTTTTTTGTTGCTCTTGTTTTGCTTTTGCTGAAACTATACAAAATGCCAGTTTGCAAAATCAGTGTTACTGGCTGCCCCCTACTTCAAATGAAATCTACTATAAGGGGTTTAAAAGGACGCATTGGTTTTACCAGATCAGACATGGTATACATGTAGGAATAGTCTGATTCCATACCTGGCAGGACCTAAATGCCTTAAAACCTTTTTTTTTTTGACAAGGATGAAGTACAAATGTATTGTTTTGTATTTGTTTCTTTTTGTAATGTGCATGTCATAAGATCACACCATTTAGCCAGCCTTATTACCTGTAGTTGGCTGCAATGTTGATTTAGTATGTTTTTCTTGCAGTAAACAAGATTTCTCCCAATAAACTAAAAATTACTCTGTGAAGGAGGTATTCCTCCTGCAGGAGTATTGTGGTCAGACGGTTTTTCGTGTTCGCAGCTAAAACACAGGGTTTCCTTTGTTTAATCGGCATGTAATTTTATATGTCGTCTGCAGGCGTGCCCGTGTTAATGCACATTTTTATTCTTGTCAGGTGTACTGGTGGGCTGTGATCCTGATTATTCTGGGCTTGATTCTGTTCATGGCTGGATTCATCAAGCTATGCGCCGTCCACACTCCGAGCAGTAACCCCAAAAAGCCGCCGCCGCGACCGATGAGTCTCCGACGCCAAAAGCACCGGCAGCAGCGTCAACGTCAGCACGCACCTCAGGATCAAGGTCACTACCCACCCCAAGGTCACGACAGGAGGGGGCATCACCCACGTGGGGCAGGCAACCCACCCCCATATAACCCCGACTTTGTGGAGATGCAGCGGAACCCACGTTACTCACGTCGCTAATGCTGGTTATACATTGTAGCATGGGATTATAACCAGGGTTATCTCACAAATGCTAATTATAACATTGGGTTATAACATGGGTTATCTCAAATGCTGATTATAACATTGGTTATAAAGTGGGTTACCTCACAAATCTGCAAATGATAACATGGGTTTATACGTGGGTCATCTCACAAATGCTGATTATAACATGGGATTATAGCGTGCGTTATCTTACAAATGCTGATTATAACATGCCATTGGGTTATCTCAAATGCTGATTATAAATATAACATGGGCTTATAACCGTGGGTTACCTCACAAATGCTGATTATAACATGGTTATAACGTGGGTTATCTCAAATGCTAATTATAAAATGGGGTGAAGTTGTCGCATCATGTTACTGAGGAGAGGGGGAGGGGGGCCAAAGATGAATATTTACTTCATTCATTTTATGTTCGCTGTATCAGAAGCCTTCAGTCTTGTCCTCAAACATACTTTGTACACAGTTTGAACTGTGAATTGGCTTATACCCATTTACTATTAATGTACAGATCTGATGGGTCATTGAGATTGAGATTATCATTTTAGAGTATTTTTAATGAGAAACAACTTCTTTTATAGTTTCACTATAATCGGTATGAAGCCTTGTAGCTATACATGTAGATATGTATTCAAAGAATAACTCAAACCTTCTATAACTGTAGTTTAAAAACATTTATGTGTCGATATATATGAGTGAGTCATATATTATGTAGATATTTCATAGTTTCTTTGTTCTAATATTTGTCTTTCCACATTGTATCTGTCTAAATTACAATTACATGTATGTATATCAAGAGTCAGTTTTTAAATCATGAGACATGATAGTATGCTTAAAAAGTTTGTAAGAGGATTATATGACTATGTAATTATATTAATATGAATTTTCTTTCTTGGTGGTAAGGTTTTTAAACTATGCAGATGTTATGTGTAAAGTTTGAAATAAAGTTTTAGGGGGATGTGTCACTAGTAATTCATAATAATTATATTTCACACATGTCCGGTTACAGAATGATGATACCAATACACATACATGTCATGTGCACATTGGTCAATGTCCAATGTAGTAATTGTTGATTGAATACTTAAAGTTAAACTAAGACTTGGTAGCCCTGCGACTTTCCTGATCTGATCTTTCCACCACTTTTCGAGTCTTCCCAGGGTTGGGACACTCTTAGGTGAATGTATATGCGTTGTAAACCAAAGATGTTGGTCTTCTTGGTACATGTATATACCGGTAACCTCCTTCAGTCAATATTACTTACTCCAGCTTGGTTCTGGGCTTTCCTCTCTTCAGTCAATATTTTTTAAATCCAATTTTAGTCCAATTTTAATGTCATTTTCCCCCTTAACTGGGGGTTAGACGTGCTTGCATCAAGTGCAAGTCTTTTTTGAAGCAAGATTTTTTTACGGCTGGATGCCCTTACTAATGCCATCCCAAACCTAGTAGGGCCCAGGTTCCCTCTACATTGTAACTGAGGGGGGGAAATGCATGTTAAGTGCCTTTCCCAAGGCCACAACGTCTGGGTGGATGTCTGGACATGTGGGGTCTAACCCTGGGGATTGAACCTGGGTCTCCTTGCTTGACAGTTGAATTCTCTATCCACTACACCACACAGAAGCCACTGTTGACCATGATAAAAAGAAATTCCTAATTGATAACAGCCCTACAGCTTTGGCTATGGCTGATCAGTCCTATACAAGAATGCCAGGCTCTGCCACATAGGGCACATTTGTGAGCTGACTCAGGTCTGTTGCAGAGGTCTTTTCTTTGGATCCCTCTCTTCTGGTCTGTTTGTTACACGACCAAACCACTGGTACCCTAGTCTTGTACAAATGGCCTCAACGATGGATTGTTCTGACTTGAAGTTCTGAAGTTTTTGCTTGAGACTCGGTAAGACATGAATTATGCAAATCGGGTGTAATAATTGATAAGGGAATTCCGTAATCCCTTGTTGTTGCAACTTAAATAACTGTTAATATTCAAGTATTTCTTAAACTTGAGTCCATTTTTTGTTAACATTGAGAATTTCATCTCCCAACATGCAGATACATGTATAGCATACAATTTGTATATATATGGCTCAGGTTGTCTCTAGTCAAGAAAGGTTATTATGTTTACCGAAGGAAAACATATTGTTTTTGCTCAGTTTGGGGTTACAAAATGTTGTAATCTTATTAGTAGGAGGGATTGGCCATATAATATGAATGTACATGTATTTGAATAAGAATTAATACAGCAGACCATATGCGAAGGTAAACATTATGCATTTGCTTTGCAAATGTTACCTTAAAGTTTCTAGTAATATTTTACAATTACACAAAATGTATCAAAGTCAATCTCTCAAAATTACGCAACAGGTATCAACAGCAATCTAAATAATTGTGAAAATGTTTTTGTGTTTTCGTCAAAGGACAACCCACGACATGTAAGAGCAGTAACAGCACAGACTGGCCCAGTCGGTACGATGATCTGACCTCTCGTGGCATCCTCAACATGCAGCCTGGAGCACCCTGCAACAACTTCCAGGTTTGTTGGTTTGTTGTTTTGTTGCTGTTGTTTATATTTGATATAGTACAGTCAGAACTGTCCATGAAGACCACTTGGGACCAATAAAATTTGGTCTATATGGACAAGTACCTTGTATGGTCAGCATACTTAATACTTGCGTCAATGGGGAAAATTGGCAAAAACTGGTCACTTTGGCCAGGTGGTCTTTACGTACTTGTAGATGTGGTCACTTGTACAGGTTTGACTGTATTACTATATAATAAATATATATTCTACATAGTAGCACTACATGGAAGGAAATATAGATACAGTAAGAGTACTGTCCTTGCATGTAATTCTGTAGTCACTGTATTACAATGTATATTAATCATATTGTCATTGAATTTTTTATGTAGTATTACATCGTACATAATATTTTGTAAAAAATTTTTCGTAAATATGTCACCAATGCTGCCTAGTGCTTCACAATTCATTGTATTGTGGCAGTCTAAAACAATTTATTATAATATATTTGAAAACCAAAAAATCTGCAGGGTTACTGTGACGTGTTCTTCACCTGCCGAGAGGTGGACGCGGATGGACCGCTGGCCAGGCTGAAAAACGCCATCTTCAACCCTGAGCTGTACAGGACCATCGGACAGTGGGTTACGGTAAGACATTAACCCCAAGTGTTGGACATAGTAGGGTGGGAGGGCAATTGTATCCCACTTTTGACACCATGTTGTGTTTCACTTAGAAGTGATTCAAAGTCAAGTTTTCTCTTCTGTTTAATATATAAGCATTTGTCAACGAGTTCAACATGTTTTTTCCTAGCCTTTATCCAAGAAACAAAGAAAGAACTGTCTATATTTGATGGCTGTCATTTTCATCAGGCCACCAGTCCTAATATTGCTCTGATGAAGATGACAGACGGTCAATTGTTGATAAACAAGTGGTTGTGAGTCAAAAATCATTCACCAACCTGATGAAATTTTTCAAGGACCATTTATAAATCTTTTGCATTTTCACCAGTTGTTAAACAGTGGTTGTGAATCAAAAACTATGCTATTCAGTCATTCACCAACTTGATGAAATTATTCATGGATTAACTAATCTTTTTCATGTCCCCTGCCAGGCGTATTGGTGGGCAGTGTTGCTGATGGGACTAGGACTGATTCTCTTCATGGTGGGCTTCGTCAAGCTCTGCGCCGTTCACACTCCGAGCAGCAACCCGAAAAAACCGCCACCACGACCCATGAGCCTCCGTCGCCAGAAACGCCCGCAGCAGGGTCAAGGTCAGCGACAAGGTCAGGGGCAAGGTCAGGGCGGCAGGAGGGGGGAGCCTCAGGGCCGGGGGCGGACCAACCCCCCTCCGTTCAACCCCGACTTCGTGGAGCTACAACAGAACCCGCGCTACGTACGCCACTGATACCAACGTGGGCCTAACTTCTGTCTTGACATTTTTTTCTGTACCAGCAAGTCATCAAAACATACTACACCTGCATGAAACCCGTAATGTATTATACATAGCCGTTCGGCAGAATATCTTGTTTAAGGTTGTATTTGCATACTCAAGAATGAAATCCTGTCTATAGTTTTCAAATGTTGTCTTGTAAAAGATATGGTCTGCAATGGCAAACTTCTGATGCAACATTGACCAAACCTCCAACAAAAACCCAGGTTTCGCGCAGGCGCAGTATGTTCTGCTGACATGCTTTCTGTTCAGAGTTTTCTTCAAGTAGATTCTAGTGGGCCTCATGGCATTACTTATTAGGGACACAAGAATGAGATTATTTTCACTTTCACTGGAAACTGAATTTTGTTTCACTTTCTCACATCTCTTCCTGACTCTCTTCTCACAAGAAGCAGTTTCAAACAAGACATTTTCTTTGTGTGTAAATAGCGTTTGTAGAACTACAGGAAAAATGAACTTGTTGTATATCTTAGTGCAGTCTTTTAAAAAGCACACTCAATAATGTGGATGCAGTGAGCAGTGTGTTGTAGACAGTTTGTAGTGTATGGACTGGGAACTTTCCTTCCACAATCTTGCATGAGGCCACGCCAATTAATTTCCTTGGTTCTTGGACATTTGAAGCAAAATTTAGCATGTCTTAACATGATGAAAACACAGGACTAGGGGGAAAACTTGCATCTGACTATATTTGTTCCCTGAAACTTTCTGTATCAAGGTACAGACTTTGCATTTAGTACACAATCTTTTTTTCCCCTTCTTTGACAGCCGAAATGTCACAGTAGAGAAAAAAATAGTCTAGAAACAAAATTGCTTAACCAACCTGATGAAACTATTTACCCTGCATTTCAGGAAGTTTTCTAAGAGAGCCAACAAATTAAATTGGTGTGGCCTTATGACATTATTTCACTAAAAGGGGCCCAGGGAAATACAGACATGTAGTTTCAAGCTGTTTTAAACTTTGAGATATTTTTCGGAAAAGCTTTGCAGTTAACAGGATCGGCATGAGATTTTAAACAGGGTTAGAAATGCCTTCGTGCAACCAAGGTTGCTTCCTGGGTAACCAAAAGTCAAAATTCAGGTTTCCCAGTGCTGAATACATTGTACAGTTTCACTTGCAGTCATCCAACAAATTAAAATGTTCTTTCAGCTGATAGCCTTTTTATAAATGTATATAACAACTCTAGTATTGAATTATTTTACAAATTGGGTAGATATTTTGAAGCATGTTTCAAAGTGAAAATTTGGTACTGCTGATTGGGCAACTTCAAAAACTGGTTGCCCCAAAAGAATCTTTATTTCAAAGAATGTTGCAAATTTTCCTTTGTCAATAAATATAGTACTTTTCAAGCTACTGATGCATCATAATCTACAATCCACCAGACCAACTTGCTTTGATTGAATACATGCAATGTACCTGAAGTACTGAAGTGCAACAGTGCTAAAGAGAATTTACTGACCAACTCACTTTTGAATGTAGTTTTTAATCCTCATATATGGTACCAAAAAAGCTGCAAAACATTTTCAGAGTTTCAATGCTGCCATACATGGGTCTTAAAGAGCACACTTACATAGCAAAATGGTCCAAAAGCTGTTTTCTTTCATAATATTGCAAGGAAGGGATTGAAGTCTTTTTATGACTAATCTGTTGTGTGTAAGTCCCATGTTGCAATGTACATCCATTGTACAATATAATCTTTGTGCTGACAATCTAACATTAGGACATGACATTGTCTATGAAAGTATAGAAAAACTGACTGCATCAAAAAAACGTAAGACTTCATCTACTGATTGACAGCAACATATTATAATGATGAGCCTAATCGCTGGGGATAGATATTCTTTGAAATGTTTGGGGTGATTTTTCTTGACAGAAAACTTCCCACTGCAAATCATTGACACTGTGAAAGTGCATTTCCAATGTATTACAACTGTACTACAGTCATATATATATATATATATATATATACGAAACCCT